ATTATTAGGTAAAGATAGAGATATTATAGGGAGAGTTGAGAGTTTTTGGTGAGGACCAAAACATTACAGGAAAAAGTGATATGTCGGGAGTTCTTTTTTTTTTTTTTTTTTTTTTGCCAACGATCAACTAAACCCTTTGCGAGTAGTACGAAAAGGGATCCGCTGGAGCCTAGGCTTCCATCTTCCTTCGTTCGTTCCCGTCAGAAGCGAATCCTCCCTCGCTGGCCGCCGTCGCCGCCAAGGTACTGTACGTACTATCTTCCTCGACTCACCACACCACCCCAAGATCGCCACAGACTATATATGCACTATGTTCGACTTCTACCTGCAAGATCGATGATTTCCTCTCTCTATTTGCAGATCCCCTGCATCATAAGCTCTCCCGCTTCCGACCCATGGAGGCTCCGGGGACAGGGGAGTACTTCGAGAGGAACACCAATTCGAGGCTGGAAACCCATCTGGGGGCGACGGCGGAGGCGGCCAGCCTCTTCACCGACGACCTCATTCTGGAGATCATCTCCCGCCTCCCCGCCAGATCCGTCCATCGCTTCAAGTGCGTCTCTGTGTCCTGGCGCGACCTCATCACCGACCCTGCCAACCGCAAGAAACTGCCCCAGACCCTCGCTGGCTTCCTCTACTTCACCACCGACTACAGGGGGCATCGCCACCACTTCGCCAGCGTCTCCGGCAGCGCAGCCCCATCCAACCCTTCCCTCCCTTGCCTGCAGCCTAACAAGTACAAGGACATGGCCCAGGTGGACGCCTGCAATGGCCTCCTTCTCTACCGCGACAGCAACAAGAAGATGACCCATTGGAACTGGAATTGGGCGGATGACGATTTCCGTTTTGTCGTGTGCAATCCCGTCACCGGGAGGTGGTTGGAGCTGCCTCCTTCACCGCAGTCGCCGGAAAACAGATTTAGCTGTATCGCAGGCCTGGCTTTTGATCCCGCGATCTCATCCCATTTCTATGTTCTTCACTTCGAGCAGACCTTTCAAGGATCTTACATCACAGCAGTGAACATCTACTCGTCGCGCACACGAGCCTGGACTCGTAGGGATAGTGGGATAGTTGAGAATGTGACGTTGCTCTATCTTACTAGATGTGTATTTGTCAGTGGTATCATGTACCTGATGGGCATCCATAAAGGCCTGATAGGACTATTTAACTATGTACTACCACTATTATGTATAAGAGTCTTGTTCTTGTTCTCTACATGTCAATGCACACAACTTATTACAATAACCAAACCATATATAGAACGGAATCGATCAGATTAAGCAAAGGAAGTAACTTGGCATTATAATATCACGTGAATAACTATAAAACACAGAACTCTATGGATGAATATGCTATTCCAAACAATTATTTGCGTGAGTTAGGTGAAGACTAACCGTGCTTGCAAAGTTAAGCATCCACGGGTGGTACTAACACCAAATTAAAATATGAAACAAAAACAAATTGAAAAAGATGCTTGAACTGGCATCATGTCCCCATACAATAAATTAGAAACAGCTACCTGCCACCACCTTAGTTGCTGTCCATGATTCTATCTTGAATCTTGCTAGGGTATGAACTAGTTTATTCTCAGGAAATTTCCAATCATACCACACACAATAAAATAAAAACAGCTAGTTGCAAATATTAAAAATGAGGAAGGAAATTGGGCTCCTCTGGGGCCTATGCATTCGGGAAATATTACCCCGAATAATATGCTCTGGTAGTATTAACCATTTTTTTCCTTTTATGTTTTCCTCTGCGTCAACTCTCCCTTAACTAATTGAACGAGGCAAGCTCTTTGTCTACATTTCAAAAAATATGCACCCCTTAAGTTCACAAAAACATGATTCTTTGGACATGGATTTAGTCCGACTTTTGAATTCTGACTACTTGTCCAAACATTTATATTGAATACTTGTAAATCAATATGTGCAGATTTGTACCGACGAGTACTTTCATAACACCTCAATTTTATTGTATTTCATATAGTACAAGCTAGTGGTCAAAGCTATGTACTGAAGACAAGTCCGTGTCCGAAATTTGAGCTTTTGTCGATCTCGATTGGAGGGAGCAGTTTAATTAGTGCATCATTTAAAAAGGTTCAGTGGATGGTGGCGCAGCGATGTGAACAGATTCTTGGCAGCATCATATGTAAAAAATTAACTCCAGCAAGTTGGAGGACGCGTGGATGGGATGACCAATCAGGGATGCTGGAGTAAAATATCTCTAAGCAGGCACTTGCAGCTAGCTACCTTGATATGGCCATGGCAGCTCCTGTGTCCTCGGCTCCTCGCTGACCTCCTTTCTGTATCCATGAAATTCCATGATCTGATCTTCCAACCCGAGTGAGTGATAGAGGAAGACATATAGGCCAGCCAGGGAGATGGAGGCTGCAGCGGCCACCGTTTTTGTCGGTAGGATCGCACCAAAGCTCATAGAGTTCTTAGCTGCAAATCACAAGCTTCGGCAGAACTTGGAGCATGACATCACCTACATCCAAAGAGAGTTTGCGTTCATTTCTGCCGCCATTCAGCAAGACGATGACTGTCGCTGGAGGAGTGGCAGCAGGACTGACCACGTGCAGAGGGCCTGGATCCAAATTATACGCGACTTGGCGCACGCCATAGAAGACTGCATCGACCGCTTCACGCCCCGCGTGGCGATATCCAATAAGTCGCCAATCCAGAAGTTGAAGACAAGGAAGGCCCGTAATGAGTTTGCCGAGGCAATCAGCAAGCTCAAGAAGATATCAAAGGAGTCATCGAAGCTGAGAACAACTTATGGTACTTCCACCTCCTCCTCAGCTTCGTCGTCGCCAATGGCATCTGAGACGATAGAGATTGAGACGAATGACTTCCATTCTGCTAACGGCCCTGTGGCTGTGGGTATGGACGCACAACGGGATGAGCTTCTGGAGCTGATCCAGAAGGAGCAGCAGCAACTCAAGGTGATCTCCATTGTTGGCTTCGGTGGCATAGGCAAGACTCTCCTTGCCAGGCATGTATATGAGAGTATGAGCCAATACGAAGCGCGGGCTTGGGTTTGTGCCACGGAGCAACAGCGCCCAATGGATGTTCTCATTGAGATAACCCAGAAACTTGGCATCACCACATCCATTGATGGCGGAGGTCGTCCCAGCAACCCCTGCGAACTCCTAAGATCTCACCTTGGGACCAAGAGGTATGTTTTCAACCATTGGTAATTTACTCAAAGGGATCAGGTAAGAATGACTAGCTTAGATAGTTATTTTTCAGTCAATATTGATTGCTCTCTGACCAAGATCTTCTTATCCCCTTTGTACTTGCATAAAGCTTGTGTTCTGATCAGGTGGTTCTTGGTGGTGACTTAGAAATGTTTTTTGTAGTTGTATGGCCAACACTTAGCCAAATTCACCCTAAGAGGTGAGAGGTGTATACTTTAGCGAGGTGACTAGAGAATTGCCCTTTTTTTTGCCGAAAAAGGGTTTCCCCCCGCTTTGTATTACAAAGCAACAACATCGATACAACCCACGATAGGTGCTGGGGCGGAAGCGGCACAGACACGCCCAAAAGAAAAAAAGAGAAAACACAAAAGGAAAAAAAATGCCGACAACGGCGGATCAACAAAAACGAAGATGACTCGCCACCGCTGCGCCCGCCGGAGAGTTCCACCACGCTCCTAGCACCGAAACGCCGCATACCAAGTAACACCTTCAAGAAGGAACGCGACGACAACGACGCTGCTACCGGACATGGCCTAGGGTTTCCCCCGGTACGCGAAGGGCCGTGGGAGGAAGGGGGATATCCGACGCCCTTCAGGAAGGCACGGCGACGCCCACGGGCGTCACCGCGTCGGTGCCGAACAAGCCGACAAGGATTTCTCCCAACCTCCTACCAACCACGACCCCAGACGATCCATCGCGCTCCACCATACTTGCCGTCCACCAATATGCGCCACCACGGACACACAGTCACCATCGCCGTCTCACCGTGACAAGCGAAGCGAGACCGGCGGGATCGAGAGGAACCAGCCAAAAACGAGGAGCAGCAGGGTCAGCGGCCACGTGGGAGGGGACAACCTCCACCACCCTCGGCGGTGACCGACCGGACGTAGCTCAGGAGCAAACCAGGCACCCCTGCCCGGCCGAGCCCGAAGCGGGCTCGTGAAGCTCCCGTCGCTGCGCTGCAGTACACGCGCCACCGTCTCCGCCACCCCCAGCCCAAGCCACACCTCCGTCCGCCGGAGATGACGCCGGAAAGCACACGCCAGGCCCACCCAGACCCAGATGGGGCCCAAAAGGGCCCAGATCTGGGCCGGAAGGGCGCCGCCGCCAGCCACCGCGCCGCCCCGCAGCCAAGCAGCCACGCCACCGCCACCATGCCACCCGGAGCTGCGCCGCCTGCGAAGACGAGCCGCCACCGGATCCGAAGCCGACCTGGGTGCACCGCCGCCGGCGCCAACGTCCGAGCTACAGCGCCGCGCGGGGAGGAAGAGAACAGGGCCGCCGCCGCCGGCATCACGCGAGCCAGGCCCGGTGGCCTACGCCGGCGGCGGCGGGAGGGGAAAGGAGGAGGGGGGGGCGCTGGGAGGGGCAGGGAAGGGGAGCCCCCGGCCGCCTCGCTTGGTGAGGCGACGCGGGGGGTACGGGGGAGGAGGGGAGGGGGAGGAGGAGCCGGGGCGCGCCCGCCGGCGGCCGGGGGCGGCGGGAGCGGGGGAGGGCGGCGGCGGCGGAGGGAAACCCTAGCGGGAGCCCTACTTCTACTCCGTGACTTGACTTCCTTACCGTAATGTTCAGATCCTATAAATACACTAAAGTATACAGAATTGCCCTTTGAAACTACAAAAGTCCGAGGTGGTTCTGTATTTATAGGATCTGAGCTTGCGGTAAATACACTCCTGCTCTTAAGCAGGTTAGAGTATTACCATTCATACTAAAATAAGGCTGGTGGTATTTCCATACTTTCAAGAATACCCTAGAGAAATATTCTATGCCATCCCATGGAGTAGGTTGTCACGTTGTAGTGTCGCGTCGTTTGCATCACAACATCAGTCTTAGCGTTGTCTCTCGTCATTGACGTCACATGTGGCCAACACTCAGTGACTAGCAAGTACCAACCCTTTAAACGGGAAGGGTGGATCTCTATTTATACCACTGAGTGTGCAATAATTACATTCCTGCCAATGAGCCCTATTATTTCTGAAGGCAACAGACCATTTAAGTTGTATGATACACTAATGAGACCAACTTAGAAAAGCGGGTATAACATTTTGAGTTATTAACTATACAGTTTACAGTTAGAAAAAATGTCAACGAAGCAAATAATAGACAGAAGTGCTTACCCTGGTTAAATCTATGGCTTCCATCAAAGTGAATATCCTGCGTGTCAAGTAACAAAATATCATATGATCCAATACTAAGCACTCTTTCATTGTCACTGACGCAATCAAAAGCTATATTCCTAAATACCATCTTAGCATACTTATGATAGATTAATGAGGTCAAAAGTTGATAGATAATGGTAGGAATGTGCCGAAGAAATTCCAAAAAAATATAGATGCTGTACAAATATAGCAGAAGGCTAGATTGAGCAAACTACTTAACATGTATAGCATATAACACAAAGAAAGGAGCACACAACATGTAAGACTATAAAAACAAAGAGGGTAAGTGAAATTTTAACTTTATTTGCAATGGATGCTACCTCAAAGCACAATGATGGTCCAGACTTCTCAAATATTAGATGTGACCGCTCCCCGCAGCGGCCCGGGAGAAACCCTAGATCGCCGCCGCCACCACCCCCTCTCCTCGCTCTCACCTCCTCGCCGCCGCCGGAGGGCGCTGTCGGGCAAAGCCCGCGCGGCGTCGGCGGCGGCGGGGCTAGCTCCATCTTCGCAAGGGCCTCGAGCGGCGCGGGGGCGGCTCGCCTTAGGAGGTGCTGGGCTCGGCTTGGCGCGGTCGGGCCTGGGCGGCGGGTGGGCGACGCGGTCGTCGGGGGGCGCTGAGGCGGAGGAGGGAGGTGGCGTCGTCGGCACGGTGCTGCGCGAGAGCTGGCGAGCCGCTGAGCTGCGCGTGCGCGGGCGCGGTGCGGAGCTGCGCGGCGCGTGCGTGCGCTGGCACGAGGCGGGCGAGAGGGAGTCAGGGGTCGGGCCTGTTGCGGGGTTGCCGACTGGCTTGCTTCTCGGCGCGTTGGGGGCTTCCCAGGTGCGGATCTACCGGGGAGGCTAGCCTGCGACCTTAGGGGCGCGGCTCGAGATGCCTCCAGATCTGTCGGGGTAGCTGGCCGGCGACCTCCTGGGCGCGGCCGAGATGTGAATTGTGCTTGTGCGCCTTGGATTTGGTATGCAGGAAGAGCTGGCTGGGCCACAGGTTTGGGTGGGTGTGGCTGCCGGTGAAAGCCGCACTCCGGTTGTGGCCGGAGCAATCGATGGCGGCGCCTATGGGCGTCGTCCCCTTGTTGGAGGCATCGATTGTGCAGTCCCTCCCTTCCCTTGCCTGACATTCTTTGGGGGAAACTCTAGATCCGGTCTCCCGGGTCGGACGATGACGATACTATCGGCTTTGCTCGGTGTCGTGTCTCCTCTTGAGGACATCGTCTTGAAGATAGACTCAGTCAGAGGGACTCGGTGCTCGTGTAGGTGGTTGGCGACGGCTCGTGTAGCATCTCCGTGAGAGCAGCAGTAGCACCCTCCACATGCAGAGTGCGTTAGGCGAGTTATGTCAGCCAAGTTCGCGGGATCGAAACGGCATATGTTTGCTCTATTGGACATAGCGTTCCTCTTTGATGTCGTTGAGTTCTGCGGATATGCTAGTGGCAGCCCGGATTGATACAACGGTTTGCGGTGTGCACTTTGGTAGCGGCGAAAGCGCTCGAGTGCCGGACCGGGTGTGTTGTGGGGTGTTGGCCTTCTGACGTGTTGTATGTGTTGTGGTGCTTTAGGCCTAGTCTTATCAGGCGCTGTTTAGGTTTTTGCTCGGTTTTCCTTGATACACTGAGCAACCTCTTTTCATTTCTTCTTTTTTAGCACTCGTCTTATGCGGTGCATTCCTCCTTGAGGGTGTTACTTGTAATACCTCTTTCTGATCAATGAATTTGGCAGCTCTCCTGCCAACATTCCAAAAAAAAAAAAGAGTGTACGCTGATGTAAAGAAAAAATTGTGACAGCCAAGCAATGAAATACCAGTATACCACTGTTTCTGCACTAAATAAGGGGTTTAGACAAATGTATGGCAGCAGCCAAATTTTTACAACACAATTTCATACTGTTTACAGTCTAAACCAAATTTAGCATTGAAACTGGAGACGGACTAACATTTGAAATACACACACTAAGCGGAATTATTATGACAGCGAACTAGAAATTATCCAGACCATGGAAAGTAAAACACAACCAAACTGGCCCGTCGTTCTTCAAAAAAATGCCGCTTAAGAACACTTCTTTTTTGCTACCATCTGACTGAAAAATAATGAATTTGGAAATTAAAGCATACATAGACTGACCAACTCCTAGTTTACAAATTACAAAATGTATGATCCAAAATTAGTCACCATTGCCTCTTAAAATATTTGTTGGCACAAAATAAATATTAATCTTAATTTTAGTTTCCACTCGATATCTCTTCATGTTAAATTTTAATCATGTAGTCCTCCTGGCACCTTGTAGGTTCTTCATTGTAATTGATGATGTACGGACAGAATTTTGGCACGCTATAAAATATGCCTTTGAGGGGTTGAGCGGCAGAGTTATAGTGACGACAGCCATTCAGTCAGTAGCAACTGCATGCAGCAGCTCTGCTCATAGTCATGTGTACATAATGAGAACTCTTACCGAGACATACTCAAGAAGGTTATTTTACAAGGAATCTTTGGGCCAAGATGACGATCGGGAGGATCAGCTTGGCTCAGAAGCGCTGCAGAAGTGTGACGGTCTACCCCTTGCTCTTGTTACCACTGCCCGGTACTTGCAAAGCACAGATAATCCGACACGGGAAAACTGGGCAAAATTGTGCCACAACCTTGGAGCACATCTGGAAACAAATGAGATGTTAGCAAGACTTAAGCATGTGCTTGTTCATAGCTATACCAGCCTTGTTAAACATGATCTCAAGACATGTCTGCTATATTTAGGTATCTACCCAAGTGGTCGTAAGGTCAGGAGAAGAAGCCTCATAAGGAAATGGTTAGCTGAAGGGTTTATCCAAGGTGATTATATATGTAGCGCCTTGGATGCCGCTATCGGCAATTTCAATGAGCTGGTCAACCGGAGTATCATCCAACCTACAGATCAAGGTGCCACCAGGAGCAAAAACAGCACAGAGGTGAAGACATACCATACTCATGGCATGATGCTTGAGTTCATCGTGCACATGTCCAAGTGTGAAAACTTCATTACCTTGTTATATGATCAGCTGGCTCCCCCAACCCCAACCAACAAAATCCGCTGGCTTTCTCTGCATGATGCAAGTGCCAGCGTAGCAGCCAATGATCTATCTCTTGTCCGGTCTCTGACAGTCTTTGGCAGTGCGCACAAATCTGTCTTAGATTTTTCAAAGTATGAACTGCTGCGAGTTCTGGATCTAGAAGAATGCGGTAACCAGTTGGAGGACAAGCATGTCAAAGAGATATGCAGGAACCTGTTGTTGCTCAGGTATCTAAGCCTCGGGTCCGCTGTTAAGGCACTTCCAAAGGAGATCAAGAAGCTTCGATTCTTGGAGACGCTAGATGTAAGAAGAACACAAATAGAGATTCTTCCCACTGAAGTCATTAAGCTTCCATGCCTGATTCATCTGTTTGGAAAGTTCAAACTGCAACATGGTGTAGGACGCCGGAAAATGCTCAAGCTACAGACTTGGTTCTCAGAGAGTAGCAAATTGGAAACTGTGGCAGGATTTGTTGTGGACAGCAACAACAATAGCCAAGGATTTGAACAGCTCATGGAGCATATGAAACACTTGACAAAGGTGAAAATATGGTACAAGCAATCCACTAATAGTATTACGGATCCCATTGCAAGGCGCCGATACTTGAGTTGTCTATCTGACGCCATTAAAGGGTTTATCAAGAGAAGCACCGACTTGAAAAAAGCTCATTCACTCTCACTGAATTACGCTGATGGATGTTCTCAAGACTTGCTGAATTTCTCCCTGGAAAAACAAGATTCCTCGCCAAGCTGCTATCTTAGCTCACTGAAGCTACATGGGAACAATATATGCAGCCTGCCTCCATTTATTACAATGCTGGGCAGTCTCACTAAACTGTGCCTTTCATTCCCACATTATCAGCTGACCAGGGATATTCTTGCTGCCCTGAGCAGAGTGCGCTGCTTGGCGTACCTGAAGTTGATCGCATCTCAACTGGACAAGCTTGTCATCATAGAAGGTGCACTCGAAAGCCTGAGACACCTATGCATCGTGGTGGAAGTCATGAATGAGCTGGAAGTCGAAGAGGGAGCTCTGCCGCTCCTTGAGTCGCTCCACCTACTGTGTAAGGATATAAATGGATTTAGAGGCACAGCGATCCAATCCCTGCAACGTATTAAGGAGGTCACCCTCCATGATGGAGTAAGCGATGAAACAAAACACGAGTGGAAAGAAGCAGCAAAAAAACACCCCAGACATCCCAAGCTCTTGTTTGTTAAGACAGCTGAAGATATTCATATGGGAACTGAACCTGCAGACAATTCTGAGAGCCCAGCGGCACCAACTACTAATACGACATTATCAGTGACAATGCCCCATGATGCCATTTCTACTGGACAATCTGGTAATCAAGGGCCCTACATCTTATTTTGCTTACATATACACTCTCTCTTCATGCATCCATGTGACATTTTTTATTGTGCAGTACAAGTTGATGGCGATGATCTGCAAAGTTATGATGATGAGAAAGAAGACATGTATATTGATATCATAGAGGATTTTGCTAGCAAAACTTGTCTGGACCCTCTTATAAACAAGGAAAATTTGGAACAGGAGATGGAAGGAGAGGTAGGTTTAAAGAATCAGCAGATTGAAGATGTCATTCGGTCTACTCATCAGGCTGATCAAAATGGTGTACTTTTGGTGATGAGTGAGAACACAAGAAAGAGGGCAAGGTTGGATATTGCTGAAGACAACTTAATGGACAAGGTTGTTGATAGGGTGAAGCGCAAGAAGCCACAGGATGTCCCAGGTAATTTACAAGTTCCCTCTTAGTGACATAACCAGTAAAACTGGGGTGATGTTTGGAAGTAATATTCTTCACGTAAGTAAATCTATTCAAGTGATTAGATATTCATAAGCTGCTAGATGTACTGCTTTTAGAGCTAGCTAGGCGAAGTCAGACAATGTTCCTATGAGTTTTGATTCGTTCTGTTGCCTGTTTCTAAATATCTGTGGCGTGTGGTTAGCGCAAACTGAATATTCAGGCTATTCCTATTTCTTTTAACTGTCTGTGTAGTTTGGTTCTGAAGTTTACTGATGATGTTAGAAATCTGATGGCTGCTGGAGATATTGTAGTTTGGACCATATGGGAATCTAGAAATGCTCCTGCCTTCAGGATATCTTTCCTCCTAATCCTACTCCTATGCTTTTTAATCACCACATTGATTATTGCTGCTGGCCCGTTTGCAGAAACGAAGCCTACAAAACGAACGGCACCTGGGCATGTGGTTGTCATCTCTGATGGAAACTGAGGTTTTGTATGGAGTTTGCAAGCTTGGGTCAATCTTGCTCGTGAGTCAGGACACGACATACGTTTGCATTGAGTGTCAGGTTGGCATTTGGTGTTTAACTAAGTTGTCATCGATTCTGTTGCTTCAGGAGCTCGTCTGTCTTTTCATCCCCTGGCATGTTCACATGCTAATAGTGAATTCTCATGTGCTGCCGCTTGGTACAACTCCTTACCAGACTGATACGGCTCTGGTGAAGAAAGTGAAGTGCTTCCAATTAGCTTCTCCTTTAAGTTTCTACTTGTACTGCAACATAAGTCTACTTTTATGCATGTCGATTTGGTGGCTTTCTGCTATGACAGAGTTCACCATGTATTTTGTTGGATATGTATTTGGTCCCAGTTAACTTTTGACATCTGCTCCACAAAACTTTATAAATCAGACCATCTTATTATTATTATGTTGTTGACAACAATATTTGTTCTTGCATTTTGTGGACAGCATTTCTTCTTGCTTTGCTTTTAATAATTTGAATCATCATGCTAGTATACGATAATTAGCATGGAAACTAAGGCTAAAAAAAAGGGTCCAAGAGAAAACAGCTTGGTTCTAATGTTGTGCTGACCTGTCGGAACCTACGTGCTGGTCAACAGCAATGGGCGAAGTTTCTGACGGGAAGTCGGCTGCAACTTTCGGACAGGAATTACGCCAAGCAGCATCAGAGACAGCAATGGACTTGCATCGGAGTTCCTCCCTGACACCGGGTTCCCCCATTCCACCTTGCGCGCGCCACCCAGCATGTTCATTCGACTAGTCCTTGTTCGGAGATGTTTGAAGTACTCTTGAGGACACAAATTTGAAGTGGTAGCTACCATCAAACAAGCTGTTTGGTATGGAAATGAGAAGCTTAAAAGATGACAAGCAAGAAACTATGTGTACCTGCAATGAAATTGAGCCGTACTTGCGACACATTAATTGGTAGCCATTGTGCAGATTTAGCACTGAGCACCGCCATCTCGCGACATTCCGAGCCCGGTATTTCCCCTGTCTGAATCTCATCTCTGGCCTGTTGGAAATTCAGTGCGGGTCAGCCGCTGAACCAACCTATGGTAGTAGTATAACACAAACAGCAGGCTCGTACAGTCATTATCCTCGACAAGTAGTAAATACCTAAATCATCGGCATCGAAGAACCAGCCGTGGAGGGGGATGAAGACCGCCGGGAGCTCGTGGAGGTTGCCGTGCTCCGGGTGGCCGGCGAGGAGAGGCTGGACGTTTCTGGAGAAGGCTAGGATCCCCCGAGAGCTCTACCGCCGTCGGCACATCGAGCGCGGACCAGCGGATGCGGACGGCGGCGCTTGTGGGTGGCCACTGCGTGCGCGAACTGCGTCGAAGGAGAGAGGCAGCGGTCAGCCGGGCAGCGCCGCCGCCAGCGGAGGAGGCCGATGCGGCTTCCGTCGCCGGTTCGGGTGAGGGGCGAGGATCGCAGAGAAGCTCTGTGGGCTCCGGCGTCGACTTGCTACGGTGGTGGTTGGCGGCGGGCGGCGCCGCCGATGGTCAGACGCGCCCAATCTGGCGAGTGCATCCTAACAGATGGGAAGGGAATGACAGGTGGGCCCATGTCCAGCCTGGCTGATGTGGCGCCACCTAGGCACAAGACCAGGGTCAAAACTGGGGAGAGGGTTGCAATAAAGTGTCAACGGTACTACCCCTCTCTCAGTTTCGCGTGCCCCTAGATTGTCAATTTGACCAAACTAATACAAGTCATATTTTATAAAAAATATACCAACATAAACTTCGGAGTTTCTACTTTCAAAAGGTATAATTTTTGTGTTATATAGTTTATATTAGGGTGATAAAATTGACAACCTAGGTATACACGTAAGACTTGTAACCTGAAACGGAGGTAGTATTTGAAGTTTTGGGGTTATTTTAGACCATACTTGCATTTGAGAATTGTAAGTTTTACTTTATTACAAGTTCATCTAAGCTTCGGTTTCAAGGACAGGGGAGCTATACTTCTCCGCGGAAATATCATATGGGGGTTTCAAAATTAAAGGGGGTGTCATTTCAAAATGTTAGAATTTAATTCCATCAAACATTAGGATTTTAGTTTTCAATGTTGCCGTCGAGTTGACTTCCTCTCCTTATTTGTCGCGGCATTGCAGCTCACGGCTGGTATGCTTGCCGATGCCATTGCGAAGCACGCGCGCGGCCTTACCGCCACGGGAGGTGTCCTTCTTGGTCTTGGAAGGCAGGACAGAAGGAGAGCACGACGGCGAGCCAATATTACTCTTTCGCATGACCATGTAGGGGCTCTATTGTCATTTGTTTGCGCCCAGGGTGCTTGTTCCAACGAACACATGCAATAGAGAGTTAGCTCGAGGAAGAAGAAGACACAAGTATGCTTCACTGCTCAGACTTTTGTAGCTTTTCTATTTCTGCTTATTACTAATTTGTAGCTAACAAACACTAACAAAAATAATTGAGAGGTCAGTGATTGTGGGTCTCGTGTCAATGGTGCCATCCCACGACTCGAC